AACACTCATCCTTTCTTCTTATTCTTAAAGAGAGTAAGCCCCAGAACTTTCCTCTTCCTTTTATGTTACAGTTGCCTGAATACAAATCCCCCAACTAGAAGATAAGCTACTTTGAGGGCAGGGATTATGCCTTACTTTATACATCTTCATGTCTCCTCAGCACCTTGGCCCAGAATGGGTGCTCAGAAAACGAGTGTTAAATGAGTTGGTGAGTCGCCTGAGACCTGAATCACACTGCCACAGAAGCATCCCTGGCCCAGATCAGAATGGAAGGTTAGTGAACTCACCTATTAGAATCTAGTGGTAGTGATGCCTCATGGTAGGGGACAGGGTAATCATGAATTTGACAATCTGTGTTCATCCCTTCCAGGCCTGGGATGCCATGAAGCTGTGCCCCATGTGTAGCAGTAGTTGCTTCATAGACACTGTTTATTTGACAGTGCCAAGTACATGTGGGCAGTTTAAAAGTACTCTTTGTTTCCGACGATGAGCTTCCAACTCAAAGCACTTTGGGTGAATTGCCAGGGTAGACTCTGCAGGAGAAGGTTGCTGTTGCCACTTCACTTTGTGTTTCCAGGCCCTTGGGTATTGCACCCCGACAGGGAGGGAGTTGTTGCCAGTTCCGGCACAGTCATTGTAATTAAATCCAAGTTCTGGCAAAGGGCAGTACGTAATTATGAAGTATTATTATGGTTTTTATCATTATTAGACACCCAGCTGCCCAGCCCAGGAAACCACAGTAGTAAAACACTGAGAAGCCAAGCTCCTCTCCCAGCTGGCATGAATCAATACCAGGTGTATTGGCACACAGACTTGCAGCTCCACTCATCAAGATGGGTCCTTCTGTCCCCTCTTTTTAGCAAGATACATTTTTAAATAGATGGAAAGAGGAAATGTAAAGACCTTTGCCATCATCTCTGAATCTAGTTCCTCACCCTCCCATCTCCCCAGAATGATCTCTTCTCATCTATGTATGTATTATATAAATCCTTTTTAACTTTATCCTTGACCTGTCAGCTTCCTAACCATCATTCCCTAAATGTCTCCTGAGGATGTATTAGTTAGGGTGAGAGTGCAGAGCACAGGTAAGAGTGCTTTTACATTGAAAAAAAATATGATACAGACTAAATAATTCAGAAAGTATAGTCAGGCTTGACAAGATATCTTCCTTTCATTAAGTGCCTACTCAATGCCATACTCAGCATTTCACTTATGCTATCTGACTTCATCCACACCAGCCTGCAAGGTAGATTATATTAGTCTCACTTTCTTCAAGGGCTCAAAGACTTAGTAAGTGACAGAATTGAAATGTGAACATAAAGATACACATTTGGTAACTGTATACTCATGGTAGATGTGTCCACACTGATGGGTGCATATAGGTATCAGACTTTTCCTCCTCCTATCAAATTAAAAATGTTTTTTGGGGCAAAGTAGATTTTAAGCTGAGCACTGAAAGGACAATTCGGAAGTGATGCTGAGGGAATGGTGCCATAAAAGGAGGCCAAATTGGCCTTTAGCCTAAAATCAATCAATAAGCAAAGATTTCTTGTTCAGCAATGAGTCATATTATATTCTTCAAGCACCTTTCTTGTCTTAGCTCTTCTGAATACAGAAGTCAGCCCAGGTGGTACAAGGTGAGCTGAGGATGGAGGAGGGTGGTTTGGGGAGGGAATACGATTTTGAATGCAGAACTCCTATATGGCCCATAAACTGGCACATCTAGCACTGGCTTCTGGAACAACAGAAACCATGGCAGCTTTCCATGCTGATGTTTTTAACTGGTGTGTGTAGAACAATTTCCCAGTCTCTTCTTGTTTCTAAAAAACAACTGATTAAAAATTTTTTAAAAATTATTTATCACTTACTATTTATAAAAAGCAGTTCACTTCTATTTTTAGTTTTATAAGGGATTTAAGATAACATACATCCATTTATGTGTAAAATTTTGATCTGTTTTAAGTCATGTATAACAGTGTAACCACTATCATAACCATGAAATAGAACATTTCCATCAAGCCAAAAAGTTTCCTATGCCTCTTTTGCTATAGAAATTTTTATGCAACTTGTAATTTGATGACTCCAAAAACTGGATGTCTAGCTTCAATGTTGCTTTCAAAGGCTAGGCCCATAATTTTAACTATCTGTGTAACATATCTAACTAGACATTACAAACAGCCACCTCAGATGAAAAATGAGTTAAAGATAAATCTTAGCTATAAGAAAACCCCCCATCTCTCTCCTCAAATCATTTTTCTATATTCTTTAAGTTGGTTGAGAAAATCATCATCTACCAAGTCATATAAGCTAAAAATGTTTAAAAATCTTTACTCCTCGCTTTCTTCCACCTCCCCAAAGTGAGTCTAATTCACACATTCTGTAATCTGTCCTTTTCGTTTCCACTTTCCTCCTTCAGACACTTAAACTTGCTTGCACGATCACAGAAAAAAAGAAAAGAAAAAGAAAAAAATGCCTAACTTGTTTCTTCATGCTCCAATTCACCCACCAATCTGCCATTCTAATTTTCTTTTGAAAACCCAGATTTGGCTGTTTCATTCCCCTGCATTCAGGGACTACTTAACTGTGTACAAAATGGTACTGAAAATCTTTCACAGAATAGGGCCCCAACCTCTTCTTCTGGACTCCTCTGCTCCCCACCACATGCAACATGCTATACATTTTCATCTTCCTTTTTTATCAGATCTCTATCTGAAATATGCCTCTTTCTCTACCTAGAAACTCCTGCTCACCTTTCACAGCTCCATTTATATGACTTTTCTTCAATGAATCCTTCCCTGACCTCCCCAGACAAAAAATCTCTTTGTTATACTTGACCTCCCATAGCATGTTGCACATACATTTATCACACTGAATAGACATAGTGGTAAAATAGAACAGGAGAGATAGTCAAAATATCTGGGTCTAACTTAAAAACCTTATTCATTACTTGCTGTGCCATCCAAGGCAAGTCACATAACATCTCTGGCCCTCAGTTATTTAACCTATAAAACTGTAGTCTTAACAATTATAATAATACTCTACCTCATAGGACTCTTGTGGTGATCAAATGAGGTAATCATAAATGTGAACATGATTTGCATTATGTAGATATTAGGTATTATAATTATAAAATTATATTTTTTGATAGATTTTTAGCTCCTCAAGTGCAAAATCAATGTCAGGTCATTGTTATATCCCTCTACCTAACATAGTACCTAGGCCTGCCTGTCGCCTACATTGGTTTATGGCATGTTACCATTTCTAGTAGAATTATATTCTCACTATTAACTCTTTTAGCCTACTATCCACAATGTTTCTTCAAAAGCCAATCATGACATCCTCATTTCTTTTTATAATTATTTATTGCCTTTTTATAATTAAACTAGAGGCCCCGTGCATGAAATTGGTACACAGGTAGGGGGGCCCTAGGCCTGGCCGGCAATTAGGGCCTGCCAGGGCTTCCTTCGTTTTGCACCTCCCCCTGGTGGTCAGCACACGTCATGGCGAGCAATCAAACTCCCGGTCTCCCAGTTGAACTCCCGAGGGGACACTTTGCATTTTAGCCTTTTATATGTATACTAGAGGCCCGGTGCACAAAAATTTGTGCACTCGGGGGGTCCCTCAGCCCGGCCTATGCC